ACTACAGATCAAATTCTTTTGAATGAAAGAGAATTTAAAAATATGAGAAAATGATATTCAAAATATTAGTGTTATTTTTGTATAGAGAAACCAATTATTTAAAAAAAAAAAAAAATCTTACAGAGAACGAAAATGAATTCTCTATCCAGTTTTGTTCTACCTCCATTTTTTCTATATAATAATTATAGTAATAAAATAATAAACTTTATTGGACTTTTAATTACTATTAGCTATCTTTTAAAGTGGATAAGTTTTGTTACATAAAAAAACAAGTTTTTTAATATATGAAGCTTGGTTATCCGCGTCAGAGTTAACTGTATTGCTAATAAAGAAAATTATATGATAACTTGTTAGAATTATAACATTCTAAAATATGTAAATCGAAATGAAAAAATTAGTATCTTTATCCTGTCCATTTTTGATTTAATTTAAGAGTTATGAAATTATATGATAATTCTCTTCTTTAATAGTTATCCATTTTTACATTAAAAGTTTAAAATTCGTGTCTTTCTGTTTGTTTTTTTTTATAATGACGTATAGGTTTATATTTTCATAAATATGAATTTGAAAAAAAAGTATCTAAATAATCAGACATTTTATATTCCTTTTAGTTCCTACCAAAAAATAAATCGATTTTATTTATGGACCCTAAGAATTTGAAAGTGAGAATAAAACTTGTAACTGTATAAAAGATTATAAAATATCTGTATAAAAGATAATAAAATTTTTTTTTATAAATTTTGTAGTCATAAGTATAAATTTTTTTAGGAAGCTAAAGTTGAAAATTCTTTATATATATTTGATTTGTTTATTTCTCAATATAAATATTTATAAAGAAATGAAACTTTTATCATAATAATGAGTGATAATTAATTTAAATGTTGCAATTTTATAATCTATTAATTTAATGATTAAAGTTGTGAATTAACCAATAAACGTAATATATAGCTCTGCCCATTAATTCATAGATTTACATATGTATTATTTATATGGTTCCCACAGATAATTTTCGTAATAAATGAAAGGGATGTGTAATTTTGAAACAACTTATAGTATTTAATTTTAAAATAACACTAATTTCTGTTATTTTGCGAAAATATCTTTATAAGTAAAGTTTTTTATATATTCTTCGACAGTAAGAAATATACCACTTTACCTATTTGTTAAAAGAAAAAATATTTATTACTTAGTTTAGAAATATAATATCATAGACGATATATATTTTTTCGTTAAATGAAAGATTGAATTTTTTTTTAAAAAAAAAATAAATACATTGAAAAATTCACACGAATTATTCTCAATTTCTTATGTCCCAATGTCATAGTTAAAATGAAAGAATATTCGTTTATTAAAAGATAGCAATGTTAATGTCAAATTATAATTATAAATATGAAAGAAAAGACATTTTTTCCCTGGACATTGACTATCAATCCTCTTTGCTAATCAAAATAATAATAATATTATTATATTATTAATAGTAAAAGAACTCGATTAAAATTAAAACAGATATCAATAATACAATCTAATCGTGGTCAGTAATCAGATTTAGCTGTATTTTTGAAAACTGTCAAAATGTATCTAAAGAGCTGCTTAAACACATTAACTATTAATATATCGTACATTCAGAATGGAACTATTATAGGTTTAGAATCTACTTAGGTTGAAAAGAATTCCAAGTCAATAAAAGCAGCTTAGGTCGATTCCAAAATCGATATTTAATAAATGCATTAATCTATTGACTTATAAATGAAAAAAAATATTTAAATTATTATTAGTATTTTTATTTCGCTTTCTTATTCTTTACAATTCTTTTATCTGATGACCAAATCTCAAGATTATCTCATTTATCACACATACGTAATGCAAATTTGTTAATAGACAAAGTAAAACCTTTATTACACGTGAAAACTTTGATTTATGTATTCAAGTATTCAAGATCATTATTAAACAAGCATGTTTGCTTTAAATAGTTGGCATCCTAATATTGCCATAACTTAAAACCCATGCGATAAGTGACTTTATTTAAACTCCAAACAATGAAAAGTGAATGCTTAATTTTATCTTCAATAATTTTTCATCAATATCGTAAATTTTCATCAGTTTCAAACATAATGAATTTGTAATAGGTTTCATATTCGATAAAGTATATATAAAAATTTCCTACTTCAAAATCTATCTATGATTCGTCTATTACTGTATTATCTTTTCTCATACTCTTGTTCTGTTTATCGTTGTTTGCAACTTCGATTGTCGATTGTACGTGATTGTACGTGATTTTATGTGAATCAAGAGATTGGTGAGAGTTTTCCAGCGTTTTGATTGGTTGTTCATTTCTCGGGGGGAGCCTTCAGCTGAGGGGGTGATGTTAACCGAAGAATCAACTTAGAACGGCCTTAGTATTCCTCTAAAAAAAAGTTAGGATACTAAGTTTAAGTAAAAATACAACTTTTAACACGATAATTCAAATAAATTCTTTTTCTTTTTGGTTATCGTTCTAATTGTTGACTATACAACATTTAGCGAAATAATCAAGTGCAGTATTGCAAAAGTTAAGAAATATAAAAACAAGTTCTTAAACAAATAATATATAAATTCAAAATGATGAAAGAAATAAAAAAAAAAAAATTTAGTTTAATGTATTTTTTCTTTTACGAATAATGTAATAAATAATTCGAACAATGAATAATCAATACACAATTATTAAAAAAGCGTATATTATTTTGCAAATATTATATTATAATTAAAATAAATTAATATTAGAGATGCGGTATAAAATATTATGGTTTATTTCATTTCTACTGCATCTTTAATTGATTTAAAAATTCAAAATATATTTTTTAAATTTTAAAAAAAGTTAAATTAGAATTTTTACTAAGTATATCTGCCAATACTTTTTTTTCTTCACCAAATTGATTTTCCGAAAGATTTAAAGATTTTATAGTAACATTTTTATAAAGAGCATTAGCTAATGCTTTTCCACCTTCAGAACCAAATCCATTTACAGAAAGATCTAAAGAATTAATAGTAGTATTTTTACATAGAACATTAGCAAATGCTTTTCCACCTTCAGTACCAAGTTTATTCCATCCAAGATTTAAGGAAATTATTGTAGAGTTTTTATAAAGAGTATTAGCTAATTCTTTTCCAGCTTCAGAACCAAGTTCATTCCATTTAAGATTTAAAGAAGTTATAGATGAATTGTTGTATAAAGCTTTAGCCAAAGCTTTTCCTCCTTCAGATCCAAATTTATTATATTCAAGGTTTAAATTAGATATAGTATTATTTTTGTTTAAAGCATTAGCTATAGCAATTCCTCCTTCAGAACTGAGTTGATTTCTAGAAATATCTAATGAATTAATCGTAGAGTTTTTATAAAGGACATCGGCAAACGCTTTCCCACCATTAGAACCAAGTTGATTTTTAGAAATATTTAAAGAAGTTAAAGTAGTGTTTTTACAAAGAGCATCAGCCAATGCTTTTCCTTCTTCAGAACCAATTTGATTTTCTGAAATATTTAAAGAAGTTATTGTATTGTTTATACAAAGTGCATTTGCTAATGCTTTTACTCCTTCAGAACCAAGTTGATTTCTAGAAAGATTTAAAGAAGTTATAGTAATATTTTTACAAAGAGCAATAGATATTGCTTTTCCTCCTTCCGAACCAAGTTCATTCCATCTAAGATCTAAAGAAGTTATCGTAGTATTTTCGCAAATAATGTTAGATATTACTTTTCCTTCTTTAAAACTAAGTTTATTCCATCCTAAATTTAAACTAGTTATAGTTTTATTTTTACAAAGAGCTATAGCCAATGCTTCTACACCTTCAAAACCGAGTTGATTTCCAAAAAGATTTAAGGAAGTTATAGTTGTATTTTTACAAAGAGCATTAGTTAATAATTTTATATCTTCAGAACAAAGTTGATTTTCGGAAAGATTTAAAAAAGTTATAGTGGAGTTTTCACAAAGAATATTTGACAACGCTTTTCTTCCTTCAATATTAAGTTTATTCCACTTAAGAACCAAAGAAGTTATAGTAGAATTTTTGCAAATAGCGTTAGCTAATCCTTTTTCACCTTCAGTACTAAGTTGATCCCATTTAAGATCTAAAGAAGTTATAGTGGTATTTTTGCAAATAATATTCGCCAGAATATTTTCTTCTTCAGTACCAAGTTTAGTCCATCCGAGATTTAAAGAAGTTATAATATTAGTTTTGTAAAGTGCATCGGCCAATGGTTTTATTGAATTGTTATCTAAATGATTTAAAGTCCATATCGAAGCATTTTGCTCATCTTCTGAAGTATGATATGGATTTCTGAGAATTTGTTCCCAAAGATCAATCGCTTTTGCATAATTTCCATCTTTAAAACATCTTTTTGCCGTCATTCGTTGATTCTAAAGAGCGATATAATGTTATAAATTTAAGACGAGATTAGTTATGCCAAATATAAAAATAAATAGTGTAAAAATGTAAATAAAAAACTACTAACAATAATTAAGGTTTTTTCATGGTCATTTCGATCGAGGGCTTGCGACTGATATAATTTTTCTTCTGTAAAATAGATAATTAATTAGATGGATTGTGACAGATAATTTAATAAAATACATTTTTGTAATATACCATAAATGGGTTCTAATTGTATAGTGTCTAGTTTATGATGAAGCTCAGAAATTGTAGGACGTAAATTCGAGTTATCATTCCAAGCGTCACTATAAATATTTATAAAATCGATTGGAGTTCCCTTAATAGGTGATTCTCTTTCACCTGAAATAACTTTTGGAATTATATTAAAGCTTTGTAAATTTTTGAAAGGGGGGAAACCACTCGATATTTCCCAAAATAGTACACCGATGCTATAAATGTCTGAAGGTTTTTCACGTTTATAAATAAAAGGATTTCTTAGATATTCAGGATCAATGTAAGCATACATTCCATTGTTAATAGAAGTTAAATTGGTATCTAATGATCTAGATAGACCTAAATTAGAAATCATCAGTTTGCCATCATTCACTAATATATTCTTGGAATTCTACAAAAAATTTTTTTTTTTGATAATTATATAAATTATAGAAAAATCATTAAATATAAAAATAATAAATTTAGATCTTACTAGATGCAGATGAACAATATTTTCATCATGAAGATATTGAATTCCATTAGCTATGTCTTTTGCCATCTCAATTTTTTTTGACCAGTCTAATTTTAAAAAATTGTGATGTAAATATGTCTGAAGATTTCCATTATTTGCAAATTGGAAAACCATATAATATAATTCTGTTGTTGGATCTAAATTTACAAATAAAAATTAGTCGAGGTTATATTACTAATTGTTTTATAAAGTTCTTAATAATATCACCTTGGGTAATACCAAAAAACTTAATGATATTGTCGTGATAGTTAGCAGAATCGAGAAATCGACACTAAAGATTTTATTTTAAGTATAAAAAAAAACAAAACATACATTGTATAAAATATCACGAATTATGAAGGAAAATAAATTATATATACTTCACGAACAAATTCATTAAATGAATTTTCATCATTATTAATAGAATTATGTAATGTTTTTAAAGCGACTATATTTTCAGAACATTTTAAATACGCTCTAGAAACAGTACCAAAAGTACCACTTGAAATAATTCTGATATCCGAAATAGAATTATATTCAAATGATTTGACAGAACTGCCATCAATAGCAGCTTTAAACCAATCTTTTTTATTTACTAAAGACATATTAATATGAATTATTTGCATACAATATTATGTTTATTCTCGTTAGCAGAACGATGAGGATCTGTGTGCAGTATCATATAAAAAGCTATTTACAAAGGACAATATAAATATAAACCGGTGCTCGATTGTTTGCCAAGTATAGTAAATTGTGATAAGTACGAAACAAAAAAACCTAACTCTCTTTGTTTTTGTACACGCGTAACAGTAATTTTGTACGTACAGTACACAATAGTTATTATTAAAATACCATAAACGTTATATTAGTATAACAAATAATTAATACGTAGCGATAAGACAAATAATTATAATAATGATGATAAAGTTTATTATAAATCAAAGTGAAATAAATGTATGCACTTTTAGAAGGTAATCGGGTTTACTATATTCCTTCGATAGAAAATATCACGTGTACGATTCTTAATAAATAAGGCTAGCGCTAATCGTAAATTGGATAAACAATTCATACGTAGACTTTATTCACCTGAGTAGGAAACTATGTACAACCTTGTTATTTTTTTTTCGTATATATATCTTTAATACACGTAATATTCCATGTGTAAGAATTTACTCCAATTATATGAATTATTCCAAGAAATCAGTATGTAATAAGTCCAATTCACGAGAACTTAAATTAATAAAAAATTATACTTTGTTCTCTTCAAATAATTTATTTATTTGTTTTTGTTTTATGTAACGATCAAGTTCTGTCTAAAAAAATTTTTTGATTAAAAGAAGTGTTTATACAATGAGTCTATTTTGTTTACTCTATTTTCTTCTTTCAAATTTGATAACCACGTCTTGACAGTTGTTATCTCCAATATATCTATAACTAAGTCTCTAAAAATTCAATGTAATTTGTAATAGCAGCAGATTAATGATCCTTTATTATATAGGTATGTGTGGCTTTACAATACCAAAGATAACCAATGAATCAAGATAATATTGGAAAAAAAGGAATCTTTGAGAATCTACATCTATAAAGTTTGTCTTCACAATATAATGATTTACAATAAGAACATCTTTAAGGCTATTTAATTAAATAAATGTTGGCCACATAAAGAGATTTTAAGAGAATTTAGAATAGATATATGTAGGATATATTAACATACGTTACATTTGTGTTTTCATATAATAAAACCGATTTTAATTGGTTTTGCCATAAAAAAAAATAAAACCGGCTTCAAACTCTAGCTCAATCATACGACTTTATTAAAAGATAAAACATGAAAACATATGGGAATTATGCTCCTATTCCTAAAGGCTCTATTTATACAAATTAAATCTAATTATAGAGAAAGCTATCCTTAACTAATTGACCGTGTTCTAGCCTTGACGAATTACAAATTATGACCTTTTAAGAAAAATATATCCTTAGCACTACTCCAAAACTAACCTAATATCTAACTCGTAAAGTGGAAATAGCCTTTGAGAAGAAAAACACTGTCGTCACAGCTGTGGAGCCTTATTTCACACTAAAATAGGTGGATCTTTGTACTGCCATTCAGCTATGGAGCCTCTTTGCATCACTACTGTAACCGCGAATACCAATAATCTTAAATCTATTAAATTTAATAGTACCGATTCATTTCCCTTAGTTGCTGAGTCACTGCAAAATGGGAGAGAAAAGAGGGAAAATAGAGTCGGCCTTCACTTCAGGCGAGTGAAAAGAGAACACGCTTAATAGAGTAGTGTCCCGAATTTTAATAACTATAAAGAGAATCGGCTAATTCTAATTAGGTAGTTGCGTGACATGATCGAGTTATATTTCTTATTATAAATCTTGAGTTAGCAATCATTAGATTGAAATAGTTAGGGTAAGGTATATATATATTTATTTATTTATTTATCCAATCAGTCTTACAAGGAAAATAAGCTCGAAGTTGTTTTATTTGTTAACATGAACACGATGCAATATCAAAAAAAAAAAAAAAAAAAGTTATTAAAAAAAGCTTTTGTCAGGTAATGTTTAGTTTATATAATAAAAAAAGATATATTTAAATGTTTAAAAAGGACAAAAAATAACTGTAGAAATTAAGAAATATATAAAATTTATTATAAATTATCATTATATAAAGTTATGAGTGGTAAGAAAAAGCGTCGAACACCCCGAAAAAACGCCGAAATGTTGCAGAATATATTTATGAAATGTTTATAGAGCACAAGGTGTATTGGTACAAAAATATAAATCGAAGGAAATGAAGTATATATAATTCAAAAAAATATTCAAAGTCAGCAGCACGAGTTATAAACCTAATATTTAATATGATATGGATTAATTTATCGCCTGTGACGATGAATAGGTAACTGGTAATATGTGACAGATAAGGTCACGTTTAAAAATCGGATAATAGATTTTGTGAACGTACAGTACTTCATTTTTATTCTTGTATAAATCATACACTTTGTGATTTCATCACTCCGTTCCTGGTACTAACTTTTCAAATCAAACACTCTACGGGATTTTTAAGTGACTGACTCGTCATTATACCCTTGTTAGTATCTAGTGATAATTATTTACTGGTTTGAATTATTATTTTAATATTTATGGGGTTTTTAATTTCATTGATTAATGTTAATAAATCATCTTTCACCCACTCATACACTATTTGAAGAGTATTAAAAAGAATTAATCGTAGACAAATATCTAAAAGTAAATCTTTATAAATAAATACTTTTTTATGTTCGTGATTTCAATTCCACTAATTAAAGTTAATAGATCATCTTTATACCTCTGAAGTTTTATTAGGTGGAAACTTAAGCAAAGTCACTTTGGTCTTATAACAGTAGAGATATCAACTGGTAAAGACATTTTGATAGGCATTAAACTTGCTGTAAGAACTTGATAAAACAAAATTCGCTGAAATTATGATGATGTGATTATGACGTCAAGTTATAGTATGACACAAGTTTTACCAATCAAAAACATTTAACCGACTCTGAATAGAAAATAAGGTGGCCGCGCAACGCATTTGCGCTAAAAACCAGAAACGGTTGCACTAGTAAGTTATATGAATATTTCTGATTATGAATTAATTACTTAATTAATATGGTTAATAAATCAATTATCTTTATATTGACCATTAAATTAACGTGAAAAAAAAAAGATATTACAAAGAGTATTAGGTTAGATATGATAATAATTATAATACAGTAACCATTAATCGATTCCAAAAAAAAAAAATTGCTTAATTATTAATAAATATTTTATCAATTTTTTTCAGATAAGAAAAAACCAAGTAACTATATTGAGTTCTTAAAATTTATTATTTGTATCATGTTTTGAAGCAAAAGATCTAATCGATACCAGAAATAAAATGTAACACAAGTGTTATTAGATTAAAACTTCCGATCAGAATCAAGATTTTGTGAACTAACATCTCGAATTTAATCATACACTCTGTTTCTGGGATAATAAATAATAAAATAAAAAAGGAAGGTTCTACTATAATATACACACCCATCACTAGTTTTGTGGCTGCGCCCCGATTACGTATGGTAACTCTGCCATAATACGTTATCTGATGATTTGGTATTACATAATCATTAATTATTCTGAACATCAGTTATAATTGCTCCGCGGTAATAACTATAAATGTTCATTAATCTCCTAAATTGTTAATTCCACCAATATAATGACGATAAAATCATGCTATCAAACTTTTAATGGATCTCTCTAGTTGTTAATAGTTGATTGCTTTTCCTTATTAATAATAGGATTAACTTTTACAAATGGTTTAAGCGACTGGCTGATTACTAATATCCGAAACCTTAATTTACCAGTTAAATATATTGATATGCAATGACGATAGTAATAGTAATTAGCAAGACGGCACGTTTGTATCGGTTAGCTAAGCCATCCTGGCTAAGCCGAATTAGCCACGGCTCGACTTAATGTAACAACTTAAAACAAGATCAAAGTAAATTATGTACTTTTTTGCAAGAAACGCTTTTTAAAAAAATTTTTAATCAGTGTTATTTATTGCTAAAATTTATGTATAAATTAAATGTAGATTTGAATATATTATATAATTGAAAATTATTTGATGAAGTTAAAGCAAGTTAAATTTTTGAAGCATTTGTAACTATTATTATTGTTGCTAGAAAAAGTGTAAGTAGATATCTAACTTTTTTTAACGTAGGATATTATTTACCTAGCTAGTTTCGATTTTTTTTTTTTTTTTCTTCTCTTCTATAAAGCTTTCATAAATAAGTTTTACTCTTACAAAATCTTTTTAGTTTTCATTTATAAATTCAAATAACAACATAAATATATATCATGGAAATATTCGAAAGTAAACTTCCTTCTCATCGCGAGGAAATTATTATAGACTTAAAATTTTTATTTCTCCGTGTTGCGCCAATCGTATATCAATTTTTTTTTATGGATAATATATATAAGAAACCAAATATATTTTTAAGATCATTTAACGACTTTGTACAAATGATTTTACCTGCATTATGTCTAATAATTCCTGCTTTTATTTCACCTTTTGAAGTATACCCTCCCACTTTCTTTCGTATATTAAAAATTTATACTATATTAATGAATTTAGCTTCATTTATTTCATTTACATTGTCTATTTACGATTATATTAATGAAGGATATAAAATGTATCTTTATAAAAGGTATAGAATTTTTGCTTTAACTATAGCTTCTATGAACTTTTGTTATAATATTTTTTTATTATACATTGTTGGTAGCACATATGGGTTAAGATCCTTTCCTTTTTTTATACTTTTTATTATTATTCTTCTTCAATTTATTGGAGCTTTTTATTCCATTGACAAAATTCGAAATTATTTAAATAGAAATGAGCAAATAGTAACTGAGCCAAAGGTATTAGGAGTTCACCAGGCCTTAGGTTATACTGTACGAACTTTACATTATGCAACAATAACTTATGTCTTTTCAGGTGTTAATACTTATGAATGGGTTACTGCAACTATTCTTTTTTCTGCAACGACAAGTTTAGATTTTGCTAGAAACAAGCATCATGAAGATTCTTCTTTTATTTATAAACTTGATCATCTGCCGCAAGATTTGTCATAGTAAATTCTAACTGCGGTATATTACTATAGTTAATGTACCAGCAGTACTCTGCATAAAAAATCATGATTAAAGTAGTTTATTATTGCAATTGTCACCCCCGTTTAATTATCATTTAAGGTATTATGTTTATTTAGGTTAGAGCCTTAGATAGAAAACTAATTCTCATATATTTTTTAATAATTGTAAGATATAAATAAAGTCTCTGATCGAGCAAAAAATAATAAAGACGAAGTAAAGTCTAATCATTATGGTGGGTCTCGGATCGTAACACAGGACCCGGCACAGCGTGACGATTAGTCGCAGGAAAAGTGCCATTTTAGATCCGAGTGAAATTAGAATAACCGAGGGGGTATTATTGATAATAAAAATTAAATTTCATTAAAGATAAATACAAATTACGACTAAAATTTCGGTTATTTTTTCATTCCTAGTTTATAACATTCCACCAAGAGTGTCAAGCAGAGAGTACAAGTATGAGCTATTATCAAATTAATTCCTTTAGTATTTCCTTTTTAATGGGATTAAAATTATTTTAGAGCAGCAGAATGGGGTGACATGGAAGCTTTTTTATGGAAAGGTCGATTAAGAATTATAGCTGTTGGCGAGAAATGTTTTATTAGATTGGAAGATGGTAATACTGGTATGAAACTGGACTCTATTTCTTTACATAATTCACCCATTGGATGGTTGAATTTCGTTACTTACATCCTATTCCGATAATTGTGAAAATGACGATAACATATGTATAATATGTTAGGTGAATTATTTGCACAATGTCTATATGATCCAGATACTAACTCTGTCGAAGCAGTACGTGATTCTTCGAGATATTTTGTTTTACGTATTGAGAATAATGATGGTAATTGTTATTATTTTCATGATAGGAAAAGTGACATTTATTATTTTTTTGGGGGGAAGAGATGTGATAAGGAAAAATCGCGTACATATTCGAAAAAATATATATACCGTAGAGTGCCCCTATTATTTATACCCTGTGAAGATTTTATGCTTAAATTTGATTTATATCTGAATACTATACATACTACATTTCAAAGAATAGCACTTCTTACTTGAGGAATAACCAGAAGGTATAAAACTTTAAAATTGACAGAATAAATGTTCCGGGTACAAATATGGCATTTGAAAATACCCGGATACACTATAGGTCCATTCAGACCTCCATTAAGGTCTATTGGAGCAACTGCAAACTTGCTTTACGGTATATACAGTATTATATTTCGTAGGGGTAACCTTACTATTAAACAGAAATTACGTAATAAATGTCACTCTCTAATCATATCCTTTTTAAAATAAATGAATAATAGTTTTGATCAATTTGTAATTACAGGTCGACGTGCATTCATAGGTATAGGGTTTCAAGAACGATCAGAGGCGTTCGATTTTCAAGTAACATTACAAGATCATATTAAGTGAGTATAAAAATAGTATATCAACATCTAGTTATGTGAAAATAGTATTGAAACTTTCTTTTTTTTCCGAGACATTTAAAGGCAGAGAAAGAAGCGACTGAACACGCCAAAGTTGCTTCATTGGCACCAAAGAAAGACTATAGTTTAAAAGAGGGTCAAACGATTAGTATTAACCTCGGTCATGTAAGCTACTCCAACCTTATGAAGCCTATTAATATATTACGTGCTTATTGACACGTTTTGATATAGTATAAATCAAGACATTCAAGACCTCAATCGATTGATCATATTCCAATATCAGAAGAAACTGGGGGTTAGAAATCTTCCTTTGTATTTTTGACCGCTTCTTGGATTTATGCCGAAATGTTATTTTTCATGTTAAAGCTATTATTTATTTATAATACTTTGTTTTGTTAATTAGCAATTCCACTTTTACCACCTCCACCATCCGTCACATCTATTAAGCAAAGAAATTATAAAGGATCAACTCTACCATCCGTCACAACTTCAAGTAATGATTTTGGAGAATTTAAAGGATTCGAAGATTCACTTGGCAAAATAAACATTGTCAACAACGAAGATAGTATTATTGAAGATTCTCTCTTAGAAAATGATGATAAAATACTTGTCTGATTGTATATGTTAAAATTTACGTAAGAGGGGTAAAGAGATCAGCCTATGATACGTACAGTAAATCATTCTCGGAATTGTTAATAAATTTCTATATCAGTTCATTTTATCTTAAATATGATAACTGTATTTTTATTTATAGAGATTTTGATTTAGTATTTTCTTCATACAGTATTATAACAAAATTAACTGTTTTTTGGAGTTACTTCTCTTTCGTGTAAAATGAAATATTCATGCCTAATAAAACATTTATATGATAATATTTAAAATATTTTTAAGTCAAGAGCATTATTAATTTGTAAATAAAAAATAAAATAATACAGTAAATCAAAAATAAAATGATAAATCAAATAATTTAATTTACTTTAGAGTTAGAGCCAAAAACTATTATTAAAGTTAGAGCAAAGTATTTTTATATGCAAAATTTTACAATAAATTTTTTTGTTAGAACTCAAAGATGGTTTCAGTAGGGACTGGACTCGTCAACTCGTGACTCGAGTGATTCGAATTTATCACTCTTCGAATCATGAAAGTTTAACTCGCGAGTTACTCGCGAGTTAATTATGTAATTTAATGATTAATAATTTGCATTAATAAAGTTCTAATAATTATATAATTAATATATAGTCTAATAACGTGATATATAATTTTACATACAAGATTTTAATAAAGTATTGCAATCGCAAATTTTAATAATAACTCTTACAATTTATCTACACAAATATAGCGCAAAATAAAAGTGACAGTGAACATAGTGGACATGAAGAATTGTATGAAGATGAAGAAAGTACAACTACTAATCAGTCAGAAGGTCACCCTAAAAGCTTTGTCTAGGGCTACTTTGACAAGGATGAAAATGGTGTAACTGCAACCTGTAAAGTTATATTGAATAACGGAAAAAAAATGTGGTGTCTCATATAATGATGGCTCAACAACTTCAAATTTGATTAATCATCTTGCTCGTAAGTATAGGATATTTAAAAATAATTCTTGATCTATTAAAAATCAATTTAATAGAACTAAGGATGAATATAAATTGATATGGTAGAATTTAATTTCATTTATCATCGATGACTCACAGCCATTTAATATAGTAGAATGTAAAAGTTTTCAAAAATTACTGCATTCACTTGATGAAAATTTTTCAATTCCTTGTAATAAGACTGTAAAAATCTCAGTTAGTAAGGTATTTTCTTGGAGTAAAGAACAATTAACAAGATTAATAGAAGAGAATAGTATTGTCATGTCTATGACGATAGATTTTTGGACAAGTTGTCATAACTAGAGATATGTTGGAATCATGTGTGCTTGGATTTCTGAATCCTGGAAACTTAAAGAAACATTTCTTATTTTACAATATGTTCTGTACTCTCATACAGGTGAAATTATTGCTAAGCTATTAGACAATGTATTGATTGAATAAGGCTTAATTAACAAGATAGTAGCAATAACCACTAACATTAGAACAAATATAAAAAAGGTTATCTAATTATTAGGATTCCTTTTGCAGTTTATTTATTTTAATTATCTGTTAGAAAAAGGTTAAATATGATTAGATATTTAGTTTTATATATAAAAAGTCTAATTGATTTTTTTAATAATTCACTAAAATAAACTAAATATCTTCTTATTGCACAAAGATTTGGGTTTAAGAAACACTTATCAACAATTGGAGATATCACTATATGATAGAATTCATCATTTTATATATAAGAAAGATTTTTTTATTTAAAAAGAGCAATAGTATACCTTTCTTTATAGTTTCAATGAAAGTGTATCTGCTTAAAAAGATAGTAAACGATTAGCATATATTATGCTTACTGATAATAAATAGATTTTTTTAGATGAATTGAATAATATATTGTATAGTTTTGAAAAAATAACAGTATTACTAGTAGAAATACTTATATGACAATTTTTTAATATATTCAGCAATTTTAACAACCTTATATTAAATCAGTATCAACAGATATAAGCAAAATTTTTTTTATTTTATTTTATTTTATACAAATACCATCAGTTTAACTTTATTAATTTTATAATTACAGAATATGTATAATTTTAGATTGTCTAATTTAAGTAGTCTATCCAAAGGTTCTATACTAGCTGTTATATCTAAAATCTCTTTGAAGATTTTTTATTTAAACTTTTTAGTCCTATTTTATTTATTACAAGTATTACTTTTTAAGTTAACTATAATTCTATACTACTCTACTTTGAGAAATATCCAAGCTAATATATGTCACAAATTTTGCTATTATGAGTCTAGATCTTATTTAGATAAGTCTTACTTCAATACTTTTTAATAAATAGATAATATAATATCTAATTATGCTATACTATATCTTAATTTAGCTTGTATATATCTTTATTTGATATTTATATAAATTTAGTTCTAGCTATATCTCTCTATTATGTTAAACCTTTGTATTCTTCTGAATGTTTTATGAGACAGATTCTCTTAATCTAGTTAGCTACTAAGCCAAGTTAGTATTGCTATAATATCCAATATCATGAACTTACTTGTATATACTTGATCTATACTTTCATACTCAGAAATCTTTGTTGAATCAAGTACTAACTAGTATAACTATTAAAATCTATACTACTTCATCTAACTCAGGATTTCTACTATACAGATTCTTTGTTTGTAGATCCTATCATAATTTATTTATATAATATAACTCTAATATTCTGTCATACTTCTAGAAATGAACAAAGTTTAGTATAAGCTAGATACAAGTTTTGAAAAATTATTTAAATTGTCAATAGTAGAATTTGAACTTCAAATCTATCGCATAATAGTCTAATAATCTATCTACTATACTAAATTATCAGATTTTGATATAAGCAGATTAATAATTCTTAATTCTGTAGAAGAAAGTATAGATAATATAAAAGATGTTATTGAGATTAAAAAAGTTGACTTTATATTAGGAATTATACATAAACAAATTAATATTTTAGTTTTAATAACTACAATTGAAATACTTGAGAAGGTTAAAAAAATATTTTATGATAATATATATTATTATTAGGATTTTGTTACAAATATTGATATATTAGTATATTTATTTGATCTATATTTTAAAAAGCTATATTTTGCAAATACAAATATAATTACAAAGACTAAAGAACAATTAAAAAAATTATATAAATTAGAATATAAAATTTATACAACTTTTAAACATCTAATATCTTTGTTGAATATTTAGAATAATGATAATTTAGAAGCTAGTAGAGTTATAGTCTAGTGATTTTAGTATAGTGGTTAGGTTGTCAGACTGTCATGTAAGAGGTTTAGAATTCAAATCCTACTGTCGACGAATTTGAATAATTATCTAGACCTTTGTATCTAACTTATAGTAAATCCTATTTGTTTCTAGGGTTGTAACCCTGTAAATCATGTTGCACCAATATTAATCAGATATTAGAAGTATAATATAATATTCGATTTATATTGCATGAATAAATCTTGATAGGATCTATGAGCAGAAGATTTGCAAAGTAGAAATTCTGAATTAGATGAAGTAGTATAGATTTTGATGGTCATACTATTTAATGTTTGATCCAAAAAAGAAGTCTATGAATGAAG